GCCGTTTCCATACCGGGCCCATACCGGGTCTCGAACGTGTGCACCGGGTTTGTAGCAGCCACCTACCAGTCACTTAGCGTCCCCTCACCGCTCGGAGCGTCCTGTGAGCTAGTCCCCGGACTGCTGACGTCATGACACGACTGCCATAAATACCCCGATTTGAACGGCAACGGTCAGTCCGCTCTCCATTTTTCATCACCGTTTTGTAACGGGTTAGGAGCGTGTTGTGAACGTGTTCATACAGTGTGACCGTTTTCATAACGTATTCATACCGTCCTCATACCGTTCAACACCGTCCTCTTGCCGCTTACTTGCGGCCGGTGCCAGCCGACCAAAGTTTTGAACATGCCCAAAACTTTCGCCGGGTCCCACCGGGTGTCAATAAGCGCCAACGCCCTATTAACGTGTTGCCCGCTTTGATAGCGAACCACCGTGTGCCCTCGCCGTTCTCCACCGTCCGCAGACATTTTCGCGCACGGTGGCACACGGTAGGCCTACACGGCAGAGTGTGAGAGTCATTTAAATACAATCGCAACTATGCACAAAACAAACAATTTAAAGGCCATTGTCAAAGTTCACTGGATCTTCCTTCCTTCTTTTGTTTACGATACAGATAACAATCCCTCGGATTTCCCATGTGTATTTTTAGCCTGATTATGCATCCGCACTTTAAAAGTAATCTATCAAGAAAATACGGAACCATTGGCTCCGTACCAAAAAACTACGGGCCGAACCTCCGCTGCAGGAACTTTTCTTTCAACTCTTTTATGTACACAGGTTAACAGTCATTTCAAATTCAGATAAAATCGCAACTAAAAACAATTTAAGGGCAATTTTAATACCCAATTGTATTTCCAATACAAAACAGATTCGGATTTTATATTTCGTCATTTATATATTTTAATAGGCTATTGAAATTTTCGTGATGAAGCAAGATTTATAAGAATCATTTAATTTTACCTGTTACGCATAATTGTATTCCAATATACAGAATAAATATTGCATATATAACGTGTTGTTGTTAGGTAGGGCAAGCCATAACTAGCAAAAACAAATGTATGCTATTGGAATTTTGACTATCGAGATGTAATTTATTCTTAAAGGGTGAATGAAACCATTCGAATCGAGGCGCTTCACAAAGGCATATGCATAAATTTGGTTACCTAAAAATAGCCTATTTGGTTTCATTTTCTTGACAATGTATACGATCGCGTTAGAAGTACACGTTTGTTTATAATGCATTGGTTTCATGTGATCTCTTTCTTTTCTATTTGTTTTTCTTCACAATTGCGCCTTGTGAATTTGCTTTCATATAAATTCATTAAACTGGCATGTACATGACCTGCTCTTCAACGAGATAATTCATGTTTACTTGTGATAACGGGTGTCTTTCTTTCCATTGCTTCAAGCTCCCCGTCTTTGTACCGTCTAAATCAACATCTGAGGATCTTCACCTTTTTAGCAAATTTGGTTACCTAAAAATAGCCTATTTGGTTACCTAAAAACAGCCTATTTGGTTTAATTTTCTTGACAATCTATACGATCGCGTTATAAGTACACGTTTGTTTATAAAGCGTTGGTTTCATGTGATCTCTTTCTTTTCTATTTGTTTTTCTTCACAATTGCGCCTTGAGAATTTGCTTTCATATAAATTCATTAAACTGGCATGTACATGACCTGCTCTTCAACGAGATAATTCATATTTACTTGTGATAACGGGTGTCTATCTTTCCATTGCTTCAAGCTCCCCGTCTTTGTACCGCCTAAATCAACATCTGAGGATCTTCACCTTTTAAATATCATATCGGCCTGTCAAAGCAAAACAAACTTATAAACAATATTCAAAGATGCACTGAATATAAAACCTCACAAAACACTAATAGATAAATGCACAAATGTGTAAGTAAGTAACTGAATAAAGTAAATAAATACTTGGATGTCTCATTGAATAAATAAAAAATATAAGTACATCCTGAAACGTGAGTCTAAGGGTGGTAAACTTATTCACTCGTTAGACAGTGTGAGTCAAAAAAAGTTTACATCTAGAAAATTGCTTATTATTTTAGCAATCGTCTATGAACAGTTAATTAGTATACATCTTATGAAAGAGTGTTGTATGGGGAATGTGTTCACGCTTGGATGAACAGGAGGCATTGTTTGCGAGAGTGCAAAAATCGACTTGCGCCAAAGCTGCTTATGTGATGTTTGAATATTAAAAACGATTGGGATTTGGGTATTAATTCGGTCTTTGCAGATCTAAATAACGTACCTAACAGAATGTCACACATATCACATATCAAATATCAAAGAACATTTGTGCGTGTGTGTGTGTGTGTGTGACATTGCTTCTGCAAAAGGCATATGCAATGCATCTCACTTGATACACTCAATTCATTTTCTCTCACTTTAATACTTTTGCGCAAGTCGATTTTTGCATACGCTTTATCTTCTGGTCTTTAATAATAACACAGACTTCAGCGAAAACACGCTTCATTTGGTTTTCACATTCAGTTGCCATACTTTTTAAACCTAAATGGTACATCTCGTTAAATGGTACATCGCTCGCCCCCTCCTCCATCCCACCCCTCCCCATCCCCCTTTAACACGGTCATTCAAAAATTAAAAAATCACTGGATTTTGGGCTCCGTTAGTAGCATATCTTGTTAATTTAATTGCATCATGAAAATCCCGAGCTTAGACAATTAATGTCAAGAATAGGATGAAGTATCTAATTTCTTCCCAGTTTTACAGTCGTATATCTTTCGGCACACGCTAAAACTAATATTGACATAACTCGATCAAATACAATTTATTGGGCCGGTAGATTGAATGTAAACTCAAAGCTGTCATCAGTCACAAAAGCTATAAGCACTCCGTTTTATGCCAATATGCATGTACATTCGAACCATCCTCTTTGCGCGGGATCAAAGGCCTTTTATCAATTCAAACATGTTAAAGTAGGTCTAATAAAAATCATAGAATTGTATTCATCGCGAGCATATTCCCCAAAACACCCGGTAGGGCAGCTCGAATTCATGAAAATATCTAGCTATATAAATATAGACCTCTGTCTGTAAAATAAATACAATTTTTGTATTATTTTAGTACAGGAAAAAAAAACTATTTGTTGATTTATTAATTTCTTATTCTAATCATTTTGTATTTAAACTTTCAAAGATCTGTTTTTCTCATTAAAGATACTATGTCCCTTTTGCAGCCAACCTCAAATTCTGTAGAACTTTGCAGGAATTATGAATATGTCATGTATATCCTATCTGTGAAATCTAAACGTTAGCAGTGTCCTTATATTCAATTTATGCAAGAAAACCCGTTTACTTGCTAGACTTCACTGTCAGACACTATTGTCAGTATTGAGTGACTGACTGCATTTTTCTTCTTCTTTGGTAATAACAAACATAAAATGAGCTGTAAAGGATTTGTCTACTACAATAACCCTCTTCTTGTAATGACCAAAATTAAACTGATTGAATCTTTGCGCAGCATAAAACGTACGACCATGCGGTACAATGGTCAAGACTATTACTTATTGGCTCTATAGCTCCTAAGTCGATTTGAATACTAATAGTCGTTATTTTCCCACTTAAAGACATTTTCAAGCCCCATTCTTTTAGGGGGAGTTCTAAATTAGTATTGTCTTTCAAATGCAATTGGAATTTAACCTTTTCATTTTTTGGCCTGCAAAAGGGACATAGTACCTTTAAAACCAACTTAATATCAGGGTGGAATTCCCCCTTTAACTGCGTTTATTGACCTCTTGTATTTGTAACAAACTTTAGATTATTTTCACAAAGTTTAGAAGCCCAAGAAGATAAGTATGACAGGTTTGATCGTTCAATGACATGCAAAGTCAATTATTTGAACATGCGATTTCCTTGTGGGTGTTGATTTAGTCTCTTATTTAACAAAGGTCGTATTTTTTTAAACTGTTTATGGCGATAGGAAATAGGGCAAAACTGAACTACCCTATATATCTCTGGTGGGAGTAGAAGACATACATACCACATGTTAAAATGTCACATTCAATAAAAAGATGTAAATTAATGTTTCTTACTCAGTTTTATAGAAAAAACAACTGGTGGAGTCTTTTTTTTTGACGGAAATCATTGAATGTAATGGATTTATGAAAAAGGGTCATTGCGACTTACCTGGGTGCAGAGCATATTTTTTTATCATGCCATAATAATACTAATAAACCATTCTTTTATAGCGCATATCAAAAAAATAAATGTTAAGTCCCTATGCGCTCCCAATCATGAATTATATTGAATGACACATGTCACACTTGAAGACGACTTCTAAAAGGCTTTTAGGCGAGTAAGATAAACGATGATAGCAGTAAAGTAACCTAATAGAGCCTGCATATTGTATGGCGAAATGTTAGTCGAAGTCAGTTAAAATCATTACAAACCGTGGGCGATATTGGTATAAATGCTTAGTAATGGAACACAATGAATTACGCAGAAAAAGGAAAACGCTTGTAATAATGACCTTGAATCGCGGCATGGGACAGTTTAAAATAATGTAAGTATTAATAACACGTAAAAAGGGGGGGGGGGCAGATGAAAAAAATATCATTTACATCATTTTAATAGAGAAATTTGTTTTTCGTTATCTTGTCATTTTTGTCGCTTTCTTCTCAGTAGTCGACTCAATCTGCCAGCTAAGAGAATTTGTCGGTACATGCCGGTAATCTGTCATTTTGGGTCCGTATGTTATAAAATATTTTCTAGTATTGCACTACAGCTAGTGTCACTATCGAGGTGTATATACAAACTTCTAGCTTTATGGAGCTCTTCGCCCTCTCTCTTTCATTGTTTTATATCACAATGCAATTGAATCCACTATTATGTCAATCTCATTTCATACTATTTAATGTGTAAAAAGAAAGACTGGGAAAAAAGGGAAAGCATCCGACAATACGGAAAAAGATGCAGGCAGAGGAAAAGAAGAAATGAAAAGAAGAGATCACTTATACTTACAGGTGAGCCCAAAGAAGAAAGCTTCCAGAGAGAACATCCATCCCATGAAGGCCACACTGGAGTCGAACTCCTGCAGGATATCATCAAGGAAAACGGCTAGGCTCTTGAGAAGTCCTCCAGCAAGAATCTGACTTACGTGGCACCAAACCAGCAGCATCCAAGGCGCCTTCGTTGAGTGTGACAATAAAGTGGATGATGAAGAAGGTTTGTCTGGGGAGGACGAAGGCGTCAGCGACTCAACTCTTGAGGAAGCGGCTTGCATCGAAGAAGTCGTAGAGTGGGGCGATGCGATAACGAGGGAAGACCTAAGCAACGGTGATGATGTTGGTGGCATTTGTTCCGCCATGGTGTCACCTGACGCTGGTGTATACGCGTGTTCCACCATCGTGTTCGTGAGGTCTTTGAACCTGGGTGTATCAACTTCTAAGTCTTCGCGCACGATCTCGACTCGGACATCCTCACGAGATGGTATGCCTACCCCGCGGTCTTCACTACCATCAAGGACCGGGTGAGACGGGCGAGGCGAGGGAAAGCTAGCGGTGGTTTCCGATGACTCCTGCATAGAGGACGTGGACAAGTGATTGCATGTAAAGGGAGTGAGAGTTTCGAAGTCCTGACCTGCTCGACCAAGGGGCCCTGATTAAATTTAATCTAGTATCAACCAATGCGCCTTTCACTATAGCGGCTCGAAAATGCAGTGAAATTTAATATCGATCGTTTTTCCTGGGAATAAACCCGATATGAAATCTACTAACGACCTGTGGATTCGAACGTCACTCCAAGATTTTGGCGCATTTGACAAATAAAACTCAGCTCTCATTCAGTATTGAACATGAGACAACCATCATGCCTAGCCAAGAAAATATAGACGTGTAACAAAAACTCAGTATAAAATCCGTGAAAACAGCTCGAGCATATAAACAATATTATTATTCACATGCACACACAACAAAAAAATCTCAGCCTAATTCATTGCTGAATAATCATGAAGATATGATCGCGATAGATTTGCTGACGAACCAGCTGACTCGAAGCTTCAAACGCCTATGAACGTGCTTCGTTCATTAACGGTTTTCGCGTTGTGCTGACGTCAACTCATATCCTATCCGTGCTGATTTGTTCTCACTGACCATGCTGACACCATTGTCACCCAGACCATGGACCCTTTAGACGAGATAAGATGTTGATTTGACCGGGGGCACAGAAATGTTGCCTGTAAAGTGTAAACGCTTACAGTGATATTTGCAGACCTTGATCCCTATAGTTAGTGTGCAGGCACAAACCTTTGTCAAACGCTGTGCATAACAGTGTCTGCAAAATAAGACTACAATAGGATCGGGACCATAGCTGCTCCGTACCTGTTTGATACAACCAACAACAACTTTGACACAGCCAGAAACTGTCAGATCTAAGCTCTACTCAATGTTTTAGGAGTTGTGGTAAAGTGTCAAATTAGAGTCTGTGCAGGCAGACTAATAGTCGTAATTGTAAATAATTATGTTTCATTTTCATTTTAGCTTATCAAACTTGAAAATGTAATCATGGAGGTATTCATCTTTTGCAATCTTTTTGTGAGAGAGAGAGCAGAAAAGGATAATTAGCGGAGAATGCTTGATCGAACTCGCACAAACAATTAAAAAGGGATGTGGATATTTTGAACTTTGAACGGATTTCAAAGTGTCCGGAAATTATTTATAGATGTAATAACGGCCAACTCTCCAATTATTCTAATACACAAAATTACGAAAGTATTTTCTTCCAAATGTATTACTCGGTATCATGGTAAAATATTTGTTTGTTTGTTTATTTGTGTTTTAGAGGACATATGTGGATATAATATTGAACAGTTTATACATTGTGAAGTGCCCCAATAGAAAAGGCACCTGGAGAAAAATGGAAAATAATGGTATTTAAGTGTACAGCGAACTGAAGAGTACATCAAAATCGAGTGACAAAATTGCCAATTTGAGATTCACATTGCTGAAACCATGTTTCAAACATTCAAAGCTTTCTTATTCATGTGTCAGAAATAGTGGTGTCAGAAATTCCACGAATGCTAGCTATATGTTCCGATGGTACACAGGCTAATGTCATTTTTGTAGCAGATGTTTATTATAATGACACATTGACATGTTTTGTGTTGTGATCGATATTACGACCTCGTCCACAACGCCAGACCGACTGCATTACTGATCCTGCACAAACCGAACGATTCTTACCCATTGCAGGGCGGTCCGTGGTTGGTCTGATATCGGTCTCGTTGATGTGACTGGGGTATTAGTCTTAGTATAGGGTCAAATGAATGGTAGGGTGTTATCAGAGGGGGTTTTAGGACACCCACCCCCTGGCATCCACCCCGCGGATAACCACCCCCATGCAGTCAACTACCCTCTATGACAACTACCCCCTAGGACAACTACTACCTAGGGCAACCACCCTCTAGGAAGACTACCCCAAGGGACAACGACCCCCGGACAACTACACCCCAGACATCTACCCCTTAGGACAAATACCCCCGGACAACTTCCCCCGGACAACTACCCCCTAGGACAACTACCCCTGGACAACTGCCCCCGGACAAATACCCCCTGGCCCAGAGAACTCCCCCTACGACAACTATCCTCTGGGAGTACCCCCCCCCCCCCGGACAAGAGGGTAGGTTGTCCGGGTGGTAGTTGTCCGGGGGTAGTCGTTCTAGATGTTGGTTGCCCTAGGGGTGGTTGCCCTAGTTCGTGTAAAGCACCCAATGACGCTCCTACTCCCTCCCCCCCCCCCCCCCCCTCCCACCCCATCTTCCTGGCCGGCCCCTGTGAATAGGCTATGTTGTTGTTTTTATATTTATTTTTATCAATATCATTATCATTATCATCATTATAATTGTCATTTTCATTATCATTATTATTATCATCGTTAGTAATATCAGCACAAGTAACATTGTAATTATTTCCATTATCATTATCATTATCATTATCGTTATTATAGTATCAGTATTGTTATTATTAGTATTAGTATTGTCATTCATTATTATAATTGGGATTGGTCTATTGCAATGATTTCAAGTTGATCCATGTGCAGTGGTATCATTCTGTTCTATACTGTATTTACATTATGTTTGCAGGTCACAATTTATTACAATTCATTTATTTCAATGCTATTATTCATTAACTAATATACACTGTGTATTTATTATAGCACAGCGTTGGCGGAAACGAGAGGGGGATGGGGAGGGATGTCTCCGAAGCCTTGGGCCTGACAGTCTCTGACTGTGTCAGAAGCAGCTACATTTACACGACCTACGGAGTTCACTAGACCGTGTAGTCTTCAAAGTCTAACAGTTCAGACACTCTGCTACGCATTGTAGTGCAAGAAAAATAAGACGTCGCGCAATATCAAGACAAGTGACGTGCTTTTCTAGCTGACCTTCGAGCGATTTTCTTCCTAGCACATCGGTAATCAAATTGGTCAGCATTATGTTGAGTAGTCGTAGTTACTCCATCTGTAACCTATTAATAAGGGACTTTAAACCCATTTTCGGGAGACTCGAACTGGTCTAGGGGCACCCATAGCTTATTGAAATATATAGTTGTGACACGCACATCTACGCGTACGCGAGATGGGTCATCGATAGGTTAAATCATGGATCTCCAAATGCTTCCCTCCCACGTACTATTGGAGGGTACTATTTTGGAGCTTCATGAAATGCTTTACCAATCAGAAGCAACTTCCGGTGACGCAGGGCTGTACGCTCATCTCTCTGTCTTCGCCAACAACCTGAATCTAATCGGACTCAGGTTCGAGTCACGTCTTTCGGAAGGTGACATGAAAGAACACGTAAATAATCATATGTGGTTGATATACGTATGTAAAACCCAACGACAAAAAGCCTGAAAGAGGCATTCTCATAAATTTCAAATGTCTTTGTCGCTGATGAACTTGTTGATTAATGTCATTATTATCATTGGGATTTGCATGTCTAATAATGATAATTATAGTTTCTTTAAAGCTTATCTGTACTAGTTTATAGGAGGGATAAGACCACTCTGCCAGGTCACTGGACAGGTGGTTATCTCATCAACTCAACTCTCAATTAACATGAGGAAAAGAGGATCATGGGGGATCAGTGGTCACCGATTAGAAATTGTTTTATATATAGATGGAGCAAGTAGCTACAAGTAGGACAGTGTGGCTTTAAAGAAAATGAAAAAAATATGATTTATTTTTTAGTACAGAACAAATGGGAAAGGTGCTTTGATAGTTCGTCAAAGAGTTACCAATTTGACTTTGACCGATTACACATTTAACAGCCACAACTATTTTATTTTATTTTTTTAGTCGGAATTTCCCCCCAAATGCTCACATATCCGTTTCTCGTATATGTTCAACTTAAAGGTTAGATGTCCCCTTTGACTGTCGAAGATTGTTTTGAGATTCCTTGACCCGACTCTGATTTGTAGAATCCTACAAATCAGAGTCGCGTCAATATTATTGTATATGAGTTCATGCACCCTCAAGTAGCATCGAATATTCCAACTAATTTGCATACAATTCGATTTAGCTACAGGCCATAAGACGTTTATTGCATTGAGGGGGGGGGGGGGGGGTTGTGAGATTTATCTTTTTAAATTTACTTGTATTTCTTCGCAGACTGGCTTACCAGCATTGCTGAAATACATGGGGGCACAATAGCCCAAGCCCCTACAGTCAATTAGTTTTTCTCTCTCAATAAAAGTGTGTGAGAAAGAGAGAGGAGGGGGAGGAGTGAGAGGGGTTATCCAGCCAAGATTTGGCAAAATATTTTGTTGATACAAAAATAAAAATAAAAACCATGATGCATCTACTCAATATTAAGATATTCAGATGTTTGAAAGTAATCCACTCTGGTTAAATGATAATTGGATATGGCCCTTCAAAATTAAGGGTCGCATTTTCCCCAGAAAATTATGATTTTTTTAAATAATATCCTAATTACTTGCTTATTCCAATACCAAGGGGAAAAAGTGGCTCCATTGTTAAAATCTATTTCCGTCAGGTAAGCGATTGTTAAAAAGCTAGTCTACAGGTAAAGCCTCTCAGACCTTGAATTACGTTTTGACTTGACGAGAATTTGTGGATATATACATGCTAATGATTAGTTACCTGGCGTTGAACCCTTTTTCAGCATCGAATACTTCATCCTCATTATTAAAGTACTCTAGCGGACCTAGTGTTACGTGTCAGGTGCTTATATTTTCGCTGGGTAATGTGCTGAACAGTGCTATACAGTCGTGTAATAGTAGTA